GGTCAGGCCCTGGACGGTCAGGTGAGGGTGGTGAGCAGCCCAGGGCGGTGTAGTTGGGGCGGCACACTGACAGGAAGTGTGGCGTGGGGTTGCCAGTCACCACCTGCCCCGCATTGGCGAAGATGGTCGTGGTAAAGAGGCCGAAGGAGTACACGCCTGGTGGGGGGAAGGAAAGGGGTTCATGCCCTCAGTCCTGATGCCCAATGGCCCTCCCCCTGAAAGCCCCCAGTCTCCACCAGCTGCTTGATTCCTTGTTCCTAGAAGCACCATTAAAGCACACCTGGGACCATATTATACCTGGGCCAAGGTCCCCCTTCTTTGGGGACCACCATGAAGGACCTCAGAGCCTCCTACCCCTGGAACTTTCACTGTAAGAACATGTGGCCTCTGTCCCTCTCAGATTATCCTATGTCAAGAGTGGCCTTGCCTTGGAATCCCATTACAGCAGAGGCTGGACCCTGTAACCAGCATCCCATCAGATTAGGCCCAGGCCTGGGACCGCCTAAGAAAACCCTAAGGATGGCTGGGCCTCTTTATGCCTGTCCCACTTTTGCTGAGTTGATCCCTTTTCCCCTGGGGCCCTAATCAGCCAGAGCTGGATCTCCAGCCCTCTGCCACTGGAGCCATGCTCAGATACACGCTCTACTCCCAGCCCCATGACCAACTGTGATTGGGGCCCCAGGTAATGTGACTGGGAGTCTCACCTGCCTGCTCTGAGGACCCACTGTGTTTGGCCACAGGCATGGCGCCTTCTGTGCCCAAAACTCCCCGTGTTCCATTTTTGGGCCCTCTTCCTCCATGTGCCATTGTAGTTGGGTTAGGCCCCTCCAAGTCCTCCAGAACCTCCATTTTATTTCTAACTGAACCCAAGTCCCTCTTTGCCCCCTGTAGTCTCCATCACGCCAACTGGAAGACTTTTTCCTTCATACTCTGAATTCTATGATGGCAGAACCAGTCCTTCTCCCTTTGCCTCTGCAACTGCCTCCCCCTTTCCTATTACTACAGGGCTGACCATGGGCTGAGGCTCTCACCCAGGAAGCGAACCAGCCTCCGTAGCGGGGGGCTGAAGCGGCAGCAGGCCCCTGACACGATGGTGCTCTCCCCGATGACGGGGCTGGCTGAGGGTGGCGCGGGGAAAAAGGCACGTGCCAGCTCCCCCAGCAGGATCTGTGGACAAGACCAAGATGGGGTCTCCCTGGCCTTCAGGCCCATATTTCCACCAGCCCATGTGGCCTTTTGGCCTCCTGGGAGGTCCTCTCCGGGGTCTGACCAAGGCAACCCACACCATCTCACCGTAAGGGTGGGCCCAGCAGTGACCAAGGCATAGATGAGGGCGGGGGGTGCTCGGCTGGCAGCCTCAGGCCCCGGATACGGCTTGGCGTAGGTGCTGTCATAGCAGAAGAACCCCTGGGTGTGCACGGGGAAGGTGTCTGTGAACTCCAGGCGGTAAGCAAGCAGAACCACAATGCCCAGCAGCACTGACTGCACCAGCCAGGGCAGGAGAGAGCAGAGAGAGAAGAGAAGGTCAGAGGCTCTGCGGCCATGGAGACAGAGAAAGAGAAAGGAGGGAAACAGACATGAAGATGAAGAGGGACCACGACAAGGAGGGAGGGAAAGAACAGAGGGGAAGGAGAGGAAGAGAGAGATGAGGACAGAAGTGAGAGAAGACAGGAGAAGGGGAAAGAAGAGGAAAAAGAAGGGGGGTGGGAGAGAAAAGGGAAGAAAAGGGAATGAGAGAGAGGAGGGAGAGTAGTGATTACCAAGGAAGAGTGAGAACAGGGCCCAGGCTCAAAACAGATGGCACACCCAGTGGGATTACACCTGAAATTATACTGTAGAGAAGCTTCCCACTAAGCCTTTCTCTGTGAATTTATATATTTTACATTCCTAAGAGCCCTTGGAGAGAGGGACCCTAGTACACCCATTTAAGGATGAGGAAACTGAGGCTCAGGTGCCAACACACTTAAGAGTCCTGGAGTATGGATGGACAAGGCAGAGTGGGATTAGAACTCAGAGAAGGACACTTTCTGAGCCCAAGCTTGTAACCACTTCTCAAGAGAAGGGGGACAGCAATGGAGATCCTTGGGTAACAGGGAGAGATTAGGGAGAGATGGAATAATGGATCCAGGTGGGGACCTGGCAAAAGAAGGGAGACTGAGGTTGGGCAGAGATAGAAGAGACAGGAAGACGGGGTGCCACCTCTGGGAGAGGTTCTGGGGTCCTCACCTCCACAAAGACAAAGCAGGGAATGATGGAGAAACTCCTCTTCGGGTGAGGTCTCCCTCCCGCCATAGTGAAGGCTGGGCCTGCAGAGCAGGGGCAGGGAGTGGGACCGCCAGGGCAACCACTGGGACCCTGGCCTCATCCCTGTGGCCACAGGGACCACTGGTTCTGCCCCTTGAGCCTTCTGGACAGCTTTGTACAATCCAGATCCTACCTCATTGGCCCGTGGGATACTCCACTCCAACACCACCTTTAGCCTGTCAGGGACCCCAAAGATTCTACAGTGGTCCCCTTCTACAGCCTTCGGAGCTGGTAACCAGAGGCCTTTTAGGAGGACCCTCCCCACTTGGCCTTTAGAAGGGCTCCTCCATGACACCACCCCCACCAGGTTTTAGGGGATTCCTTGCTCTTTCCCTGGGGAACTCCATGCTCCATGCCCCCAAACCCTGCTGGGTCCCTCCGTGAGGCCCTTTTCCCATGGCCTCCTTGGGGGTCCCCTCCTCAGTCCCCATGGGCTGTGGTATCTGGTGCGGGCTGATAGCCAGGCTCGCCTTCTCTCCCAGCTGCTTCCCCTCCTCCCCCACCTCCCAGCCAGCTGCCTCTCCCCTTCCCTCCGCCAACCCTCTAACCTCAGTCTCCAGACTTCAGGGGCCAACAGTCACACCAGCTCACACCCATTCTCCCACCTGAACTCACCTGTGAAAATGCCCTAGGGCTTCTGACAGGCTGCCGCCACCACAGACTCACAGCCACTCCTGGTGGCCAGCAGGGCAGGGATAGTCACCCCCATTGTGAAGATGTGGAAACTAAGGCCCAGGTAGGCAAGGGTAGGCACTCTGGGTCCAAAGCTCCATCCACGAGGCTCGTTCTGCCATGTGACATGAAGGGTAAGGGTCACCAGAGGCCCCAGATGCCCCCAGAGTCACCCACATTAGCACCCTCACAGTGTACAACCCAATCACAGCCTCCAGTCCCAAATACTGCACCCCCATGACATTCATTCATCTGTCCCAATGAGGACCAAGAGCACAATACTGGGCGCCTGCCTCATGGTGAACAAGACAGGGCGCTCATTCACACAGGTACCCAACACCCACAACCTTCTAACAGCATTCACACACACACACACCAGGCACAGCATGCGCACGGCCCGTCATGGACACCCACACAGATCAAACACGTTCCCCCACACAGTCACATAGTCAGGGAGACCAGGAGACCCTACACATGTCACAGCTACAAGAACAGCCCCACACAAGTCCTCATCCTGTCACAGTCATGGAAGTAGACTCAGGCTGCCAACACACTTAAGAGTCTCAGTATAGAGAACCACCGTACACAATGGGAGTCACAGACCGGGTCACAGAGTCACACCCCCAGTTACAAGGCTTTCAGTGGCAGCCACACACATTAACAGTCTCTCATCCATTCTGACAGTCACTGGAGAGACAAGGAGCCATCCACAACCACAGCCACATGGTCACACAAGGGCATACCCATGGACCATGACAAAGACTCACATGTGGCCACATAAGGCATACAATCACAGACCCAAGCCACACACTCACATCATCAGAAAGAACACACAACAGCAGCCACACAATAACACACACACACACAACCATACTGACACCAAGACGGCCACATACAGTAAAAGCAATCACAGTGCCGCCAAATAGAAGCCACAACATCAGAGAGAGAGAGAGACACACACACACACACACAATCTGAGTGACACTGACAACAGCAGCCACACGATAGAGCAGACACACACACGGACACACCCGAAGTCACACAATCACTGCCATACAACCACACAACGACAATTACACAACCGCACACTGACACACAATGACAACCACACAATCAGTCACCCTCAGCCACCCTCACCACCATCGCTTGGCTCCTGACGTGGAGTCCTCTACCCATGCTCCCCTCCCCCAGCCCGGTCTGAAGCCCCAGCTCGCCGCCTCCCTTCCCCCTCCCGGTGCTGGACCCGATGGGACCCAACCTCGGAAACCGGAGTCCGGGCCTCGACCAGCAGATGGAAGATGGGAAGCCCCCGGAGGGGATGAGGCGGTGAGAGGACGCCCCAGGCCCCCCTCACCCAGTGCAGGCCGCCACCGCCGCCTGAGCCCCCGCTCCGCACAGACGGCCCGGGTGCGGCGGGGCAGACAGACGGATGTCTGGCCGCGGTGACGGACGCGGAGACGGAGACACTGTCGGGCGGGGGGGCGGGGCGGCGCAGGCTCCGCGGCCGCGGGAGGGGCGGGGCCTCCGGAGCCTCATTTGCATCGCCCAAGGGGCGGGGCCTTGCGGCGCCTCCGGAGCGTGTCGGGGAGGGGCCTCGGTTGCTCCTGGGAGCGGGGCAACTTAGCACAGATGAGGGTGGGAACGGAAGGACGGGGGCGGAGGAGGAGGACCCTGGGGTGGGAGGCCTCGAGAACGGGAGGGCGGGGCTTCCCAGCGTGACGCTGAACCCCTCACGCCCTCTGGGCCTCAGTTTCCCCATTTGGGCATTTGTAGCAATTTGTAGCAGAGGGCCAGATCCTTGGGACTCCCTAGAAAGAAAAGGCCCTTTGGAGAGATTGTTTGGTCACTCGTGTCTGGACATACTGACCCCTGATCTTGTCATATACTAAGTCTGGTCTCACTATCCCCTGACTCTAGCCCGCACATTTCGAACAGTCCCTGGGGTCTCTACATCTTTCCTGACACTGCGAAGTAAATGGTGGGAGTAAATGGAGGGAGGGCACAGGAAGGACAGGAGCAAGCCCTCAGGGGTGGAGGAGGGTCTCGGCTAGTTTATTCTCTGTCTGGAGGGGTCTTCAGGAAGAGCAGTCCCGGCTGCTCAATCTGTGGAGAAAGAGGGCGGGTCAGGGCCTGGCCCAGGGGACTCCAGGGCTTCAGGACAGGGGCCAGATGCCCAAGGAGGGAGCTGGGGTGGTCCTGAGGGTCTATGCTGTTGGAATCAAGGGCAGGCCAGAAGGGAAATGGGTGGGGTGGGGGTCAGGGAGGATCCTCACCGTGTGGAAAGGATCGGCTCTTGCCGAATTGTGGCTTATCAGAGTCTGAGTCCGAGTCCCAGGAGGGGAGTGGAGGGCTCAGGCACCGGTGCCCATTGTGGCCTGTGGAAGAGACATTGTGGCCCTTCACACATGAGCTCTGAATGTGACCCTGAATGACCCCTGGATGAAACCTCCCATAACTCCTTAATGTGACTTCAGAGCATTACTTAATGTAACAGTAACCCTAACCCTAACCCTAACTATAAAATAAGACCCAACACCTGGGCGTGATGGCACATCCCTATAATCTCAATGACTTAGGAGGCTGAGGCTGGAGGATCACAAGTTCAAGGTCAGCCTCAGCAACTTAGGGAACCCCTGTCTGAAAATAAAAGATAAAAGGGCTGGGGATGTGGTTCAGTGGTTAAGCACCCCTGGGTTCAATGCCCAGTACTGGGGGAAAAAAACGATACTAAATCTCGAAAGATGTGACTCTCTAATAGAACCTCTGAACATGACCCCACTAAGCAAAGCTGGCTAATTACTCCACCCCCGACTTGTGAGTGATGCTCAGTCTCCTCACCCCTGAGGCTTGAAGCCCGGGGGTGGACCCCCGAAGACATAGTAAGGCCATCAATGGAGTTCTGCAGCCCATGAACAGCAGACCTATGGGAGATGGAGAGATGTGGATCCCCCAAGACACTGGACTGCTCCAGGTGGGGACTACGCAGGGGGAACCCTAGGGAAGGTGAGTCCTGTGGGGAGAGGGAGGTCTGAACTCAGATGGGTTCCAGGTTCCAGTGGTCACTGCCAGATGGAACTGGAGGGAGCTGGTCAGATGAGGCTCAGCAGTTAGAGGTCAGACCGAGGGCTGGGCATCACCATATGTCACTCAGTTCCTTCTGGAGGTCATCCTTCCAGCAGCCATTGCCCCCCAGTGGCACCTCCTCAGTCTCTGGCCAGGCAGATGGATCAAACCCCTGCTGCTTCATCTTGGTCAGGACCTGGGATCCGCAGGGATGAGAGATCAGACACAATGATAATAATGACGATGGTGAAAGGGGACCATTATGAGAACTTATTATATGCCAGGATGCATTCAAAGCACTTAACCTTCAGTGAACCCAGCTACAGGATCAGGGAGAGCTATGTCATTATTATACCCATGACACAGAGGAACAAATTGAGGCCCAGAAACACAAAATGACTTACCTGTGCTTGCACAGTGGTAAGTGGCAGAGCTGAGATTTGAACCCAGCCTCCAGTCTGACGGCAGAGGCTGGTAGAGACCCCACACTCCCACCTTGCCCAGGGTCCCCCATCTGTTCCGCTCACCTTGCGGCATTTCACCTGTGTCTTCTGCATTTTCTGGATGTTCACCAGGTTCTGCGCGATCTCCTCCTCCTGTGCCTCTGTGGGGGGAGGGGGCTCAGGGGGACAATCACAGCAACAGGCCCCCCCTCTTGGCTGTAGGCTCTAGGCACTCACGAAGCTTCTGATAGATGAAGGTCACCTCCTCCCGTACCAGCTCCAGCTCCTCCCACAGGAACTTCTTGCTGAGGGAACAGGGCAGACTAGACCCATACTTGCTACCTTCTCCCAGGTCTCCCTTGCCTCCCAGGTCCCCATCTGTTCCCCCACACACACCTGCCTACCTTCCTCTTACTACTGTCCCTCTACCTCCCACTCCTCTCCTCCTGACCACTCTTCTCAGCCTCTCCACTCTGTTGGCCTCCATCTTCCTGCCTCCTTCCCCCCTCAGCCTCCCATACCACCCCAGCCTCCTCAGTCCCTAGCCTCCTTCCCCATCCCACCTCCAGCTTCCGGTCTCCCCTGCCTTCTGGTCTCCCAGCCTCCCCAGCACCCTCTCCCCAGCCACCAATCTCCCCTGAGCCACTCATCCCTTCCTCCTATCCCCCAAGCCTTTCACTGAGCCCTCATCCCCTTCCCAGGCCTCTCCCCTGTCCCTCTTCCTGGCCTTCCCTGCTTCTCCCAGCCGTCAGGCTGCCCTCCTGTCAACACCCACCTGTCCCTGATTTCTTGGGCCAGCAGCTGCAGGCAGCGAGTGGTGCGGACCCGCTGCACTTCCTCACTGTCACGCAGGGTCTTCTGCAGCCCCCGAAGGCCTTGGGCCAGCGCCCCATAGAGCTCCTGCCGGCCCTGCTCTGTGTCCCACTTCTGGCCCTCCTTCTCTCCCTGGCGGCCCACAGGGCTCAGCACCTCTGCAGAGAGGTTGGGACCTTGACTGAGCCCTGAGGTCAGTTTTAAGCCCAGCTTGCCCTAATCTTGGCCTGACAGGGTCCTGGAACTCAGACTGGCTGACCCTGACAGAACTACCCACCAGCCTGACCTTGACTTCCATCCAGTCCTTACCTTCAAGCTGCTGGATTTTGATTTGTTGCAGGCAGCTCTCCTTCTCCAACATGGTCACAGAGTGGTTCAGGAACTCAAAAGCCTGTGAGGGAAGAGGTCAGGCCTGGGGTAGGAAGGAGGGCAAAGTGGGGCAGAGGTTGCTGAGGATGGGGCCAGGGTGGTTTACCTTGGTCTGAGCCTGTAGCTGGCTCTTGAGTGACTCTAGTTCACATCTCAGGAGCTTCTGGGAGTCAGGAATCATCATCGTAGACTTAGCTGTGGGCAGAAGTAAGGGTGAGCTGGGGTGGGGACAAGGGCAGCACAGAATCAGCAGAGGCTCAGATTGGGATAGAAGCTGGGGTAAAGTACAGATTGGGGGTCTGCTGAAGCTGGAGCAGGGGTGAATGGTTAGTGGTAATGGTGGTCATCTGCAGGGCAGAGGTTGGAAGGGGAACAGCCAGGTCTTTCCCACAGTTACATTGGGAAGGAGGGTTCTTACCTTTGACTTTGGAAGAGTTGGTCTCCAAGGGCTTCTAGGGAAGGGGGACAAGAAGGGAGTGGAAATTTGGCCCAATTTGGAAGGTTGGACAAGAGTTGGGTCTTCTGAGATATAGGTGTCCCAAACCACAAGCGCTGGCAAAGCTGCCTCCAGGCACATCTGGCTTGCACATGCTCAGAAATGCACTGTGTGGCACATCCCACATGTGTGTAGACCTGTAAGTTGCCCCTGATAGCAGATGCCAGCCCTGTCCCTGGCTTGGGCTCAGGTGATGGCCCTCCTCCGTAGGGGCAAACAGCCTTGACAATGTCTGCAGTGGGCATCAACGGCACTACACACGGTTGCCAAAATACAGACACCCAGACATCCAACCTCAGGCACAGCCATGCATGCTAGGTTGTAAAACCCAGGCATCCATTTGCTCACATTTTGACATACAAGCCAAATCACAGCCAGAGACACAGCAAAACAAACAAACAAAAACCCCACCAAATAACATGACTGCACATCCCTTCCATCCACTCCTTACATTATGGAGATCCTGATGAGAGGAGGACGCTGTTCTAGGTGCTGAACACGTATAGCTTGAGTACCCTTGAAGGTCCCCCTGCCCCATAACCCCTTCCCTAAGTCCCACAGAAGTATACTGCAGTGTTTTCCTAGACTGAAGGGGTTTCCTGGGTGGGGTGACCTTGGCTGTGTTTTGATGCCTCTTCAGAAGATCCTGGTCATTACAGTGCTCCTGCTGGTCTGGGTTAGAAATGGAGGGAGCCCCATGTGGCTGAGGTCCCGAGCCCCACCCTGGTTTCCAATCTATAATCCTCACTGTGTCCTCAGAGGCAATAGGTTCCAAGGTCTCTGGTTCTGTGGTCCTGGTCCAATAACTCCTACAGTCCACAGCTTTGTCTGAAGAAGACCCTAGTGGGGAGGACTTCCTTGAGGGACAGGCCAGAGCATGCCTTGCATCCCCAGCCCCTCCCCTCTCCAGCCTGAAGGCAGCCCCTCAACAAACTCACACTTCCCATAAGCAGGCAAACACACGTTGGAGGATGAATGAGAAGGGGAGTGAGGGGGTACAGAGTAGTCCTGGTCCAGGGGTAGGCCAGCCAAAAGAGGGTCACTGTGAAGAGGGGGACAAAAGTTTCTTTGAGACCACCCCTCGTATCCCAACACTCCAGACCCTCCCTGACAACCCAGAGAGGCCTCAGCTCTGAATACCCAGCCTCTCAGTTATGGTAGGAGCTGAAGCTGGATGAAAGATGATCCCACTCCCAGCAGTTAGGTGGGGCAACAAGGAGGACCTAGAAGACTCCAAAGAAATAAGGCCTTGGAAGAGCCCAGAGATGCAAAGGACCTTAATACTGGCCCTTAAGGGGAGGCCATTCCTGGAAGGAAATAGCATGTGCAAAGTCTGGAGATGTAGAACCTCATGTTCTGTGTTAGTAAATTCAGGATGGCTGAAGGCAGCATCCAAGAGAAAGCAGCAAGAAGTCAGTAGAACAGCTCAGCTAAGGCACTGAAGCCAAGCACAGGAGTTTGGGCCTGGCCCTACAGGTGAATAAAACCAGTAGTGGGTGAGCAGGAGAGGCAGGGCATATCTCTTCAATAAATGTTAGCTCAATTTGAGCCCAGGCCTGTGCCAGCTAAGGCTGGGAACAGGAAATAACTTAGCTCTGGATCTCACATGGCCCCTCCTGTAGAATCAGAGCTGACACAGATGGAAAGACCTGGGGCTGATCTATTTGGAAAAACTTCCAGGTGAAGGGCACCTTGCCCTGGCTTACACTCAGCCAGTTCTCCAAACTTTTCTACCTTCCTCTTCTGTTGCCCTTGCTGAACCCTCTGCCTGGTGTCCTTCCCCTGGCTCAGTCTACCTGGAGGCTCCTACAAAACCCTACTTGGCACACCATCGGAAAACCTCTATTAATCCTTTTTTTTTTTTTTTTTTTAGGCTCATATTTTCTGAGTGTTCACTAAATCTTCACACCAACCCTGTAATGTACAGGTTATTCTGCCTGAAATTTTCTAGGGACCCCTTCAAGAGACACTGATTTAGGGAGATCCTCATCTTCTGAGGCAGGAGAGCATCACGGATAAGAAACGACACCCTCCAGCTGGACGGTCAAATCCCAGCTCTGCTGCTTCCCAACTGTGTGGTGTTGGAGAATTCTTGGGCTTCTCCATGCCTCAGAGTGTCTCCAACCACGAAAATGGGATATCATTGTATCCATTTTACGGGGTTGGCATGATTCAGTATATTGATCCATCTCAATGTTGGCAGTTTAACATAGTGGTGACGGACCTGAAGACCATGGGGGATCTGAGAGATTTGGAGGGGGAAAAGAAAAGCCATATCTGAACCTCAGCTGCAGGAAGTCATGCCTACCCTTCCCTGCCCACCAAAGTTGATGGATTCTTCCGCCATCCTCCGGGGAGAATTCTTTGGGAAGGGGGCGGGGTCAGCAGCCTGGGCCCCGCCCCCAGGTCGTGAATCCTGCCCTAGACAAGCTCCGGACTGCCTTCCATCCCTACCTACCGCATACCACCAACCTGTTCATGCTCTCCCATCAGGGACCGCGAAGCCAGTCCCCAGCTGTGACGCTGAAATTTGATCCTATGGGGGCACCATCGTATTTCCTAGGCGCGGAGGCCTAGGAAAGAGTCACAGAGAGGGGTGTGGCCGGCGTTTTAGCTCCGCCCTCCGCCGAGGGATCCGAAGGCCTATTTGGTGCCTTAGTAGCCGCGATGTCATTGGATGAAAGCCTGGAGAGGGGGCGGGATTCCAGGCTGCTTCTCGCTAGCCGATTACTCAATACCTGGAGGGCGGGACGGGGGCTGCAGAACTACGATCCGATTGGTTTCGGACTCAGCTGGAGGCGGGACGAGTTCTTGGTTGGGGCGGGTCCCGACGCGAGGCTGCAGGCTGCCCGGGAGGTCCGCGGTCCGCCCCGGAGCGCGGGAGAGAGGTACGGAGTTCGGACGGTACGGCCCTGGAGACTGGCCCCAGCGCCTGCGGTCTCCGACTCCGGGGGCTCCGGGCAGAGGCCCGGGCTCCCGACAGTGGGATCGGTGTCCTCGGATGAGGTTTGGGTTTTCCCAGGAGAGACGAGGCCTTCGGGAGAATATGGGAGAGGGTCTTCCTAGGATATGTCGGGTCCTGTTGGAGAGGAGGGGCCTTGGCTGTTAGAACTGGATCCCCGGAGGGATACTTAGGGTGATCTCTGAAGACCAAGCGGGCTTGAGCTGTTGGGACGGACATTTGAGGGGCTCAGAGGTGGCAGGAGTGTTGGGGTAGTCTAGGGAGCCTGAGATCTCGAGTGCTGACGTTTGGTGAGTTGGGGTCGGGGTTGTCACAGGACTACTTTGGGTCTCCCCACCCCCACTCCTGGGCTGCTTTCCCTGGATAGCTGTTGGATCGACTGTGACCCTCACCCGGAGCAGACCCACAGAGTTTAAGGCCACAGGGCAAAGGTAAAACCCTGAATCACTTGGTGCCTGTTCCCAGGGCAACAAGATGGAGGAAGGCGGGAACCCAGGAGGACTGATTAAGGTGGTCCATCTACTGGTCTTGTCAGGTGCCTGGGGCATGCAAATGTGGGTGACCTTCGCCTCAGGTAGGGACCCTCTTTTTGGCCATCATGGATACCCAGGGTGGGGATCAAAATGGGAGGGGAACCTGGAAGTGTCCTAATAGGCATGTGGTCCCCTACCTCACAGGCTTCCTGCTTTTCCGAACCCTTCCCCGACATACCTTCGGCCTCGTGCAGAGCAAACTCTTCCCTTTCTACTTTTACATCTCCATGGGCTGTGCCTTTATCAACCTCTGCATCTTGGCTCCACAGCGTGCCTGGGCTCAGCTTACATTCTGGGAGGCCAGCCAGGTACGCAGTCTTGAGTGCCACTATCTTCTGGAGACTTGTTTCCAAGATCCCAATGACCACCTATGATCATCCCTTTGAGGAAGAAAGAAATCATGCCCCTTCTTCCTGGTGGAGACAGAGCTGGGCACTGGCTATCCTTGAGCAGTGCACAGTCTACACAACTGTCCCCAGCAGTCCTGTCTATCCTCCAGTATGTCTCTCTTGGCTGCTGCTCCCTCTCTTCCCCATGGCTGGGCCTGTTGCCAAGCTGAGGTGACTCAGCTGTGCTCGGACTCTGACCCCAGCTCATTGTTTAAAAACCAGCCCAACTGGGGATTTAGGGTTCCCTACCCCATTCACACATGTCCCCAGCCATGAGGCAAGGGACCATCTCTGCATCTCAGGTTTCTCTACCTTGTTCTCCCTTTGCCCACTAAGTTTCTCAGATGTGGGCAGGTTAGGCCTGACAGGTGTGACAAGAATAATCTAGAGACAGAAGAGGATTATGGGTGACTAGAATTTCACAGATGTTTTAGTCACTTCCTGTGGACCCAAGTTATGGAGTCTGGGCTGAGGATAGAGGAGAGATGGGCTCCATGTTTTGGGATAACGAGGAGTCAGTCAGTTCTCTGTCCTAATTTTGGGAAGAGAGATCCTGCCCTTAGATAGCCACAGTTTGGGGGAACACAGGAGATGGGGAGACAAGCCCCTGCCCCGTGGACTTTCAGTCTGGGTGTCAGAGGAGAGAGGCTCAGGGGGAATAGAGGAGATGGAGCCACCCCCACGGCCTTTCCTTAGGGGCCGCCAGCTTCAGGTCCTCTTTCTGGGTCCAGGGAAGTGGGGGGGGGGGGTTGCTGGCTTTGATTCAGTGCTGTCTTGTTACCATTCTGGACTGTGAGGATGCAGACGCGCCCTCCCCAGAGCCCCTCCCACCCCCAGGCACAGCTTACCTTCTCTTCCCGCTGCGCTTGCCAGCTCTGCCTGCAGCTCCTGAGCCTCACCCTGGCTACCATCAATGCCCACTGGCTGGAGCCGCACACTACAGCTGCCATGTGGGCCCTGCAGATTGTGGAGAAGGAGCAGGGCCTAGGCGGGGAGGTGCCCGGCAGCCTCCAGGGCCCCGACCCCTACCGCCAGCTGCGGGAGAAGAACCCCAAGTACAGTGCTCTCCGCCGGAACTTCTTCCACTACCATGGCCTGTCCTCTCTTTGCAATCTGGGCTGTCTCCTGAGCAATGGGTTCTGCCTCGCTGGCCTTGCCCTGGGCCTCAGGAGCCTCTAATATGGACCCTGTATGTCAATAAATGCTTCTTTGGAGATGGCTTCTGTCGTTTTCTCGGCCCATGAGAAGCAGGGATGTGTGTGTGCAATGGTAGCTCTGGTCCTGTTTCCCTATTCACATGGCATGATTCAGAATGTTAGTTATACAGCCCCTAAGTCTTTTCCACTAGTGATACCCATTCATTGAGCACCAGCTGTATGGCAGGCATGGTGTTAACCATTGAACATACCATGTATTGTTGCAACAATAGCTGGTTCCTATCCCTAAGGGACAATTTCCTATCCCACTGACACTGGGAGTGACTGTGTGACTTGCTTTGGCCAATGGAATGTGAGCGGATGTGGCATGGGTCTCCTCTAAGGAGAGGTGTTTCAAGACAGGACATACCATGCTGCATTTTCCCTTTACCACTGCAACCATTGTGAGAACCAGTCATTGGCTATTGTGTGTTGTGAAGACTTTGGTGCTGTTTGTTACTGAGCATATTCAAGCCCTTCCTAACTAATGCACTGCATCTCAGTTCACCCGCATGGCACACGTAAAAAGAACCTACTGTTCTCCTGAGACACGGATGTGCAGAATTTAGCCAGTTGCTTGAACGCCAACAAATCCTGAACTATTGTAACTACTCTCCTACTGGCTTGAAGAAAACACGGCTTCTTTTTAAAATCTAAATGCCAATTTTATTTATTTATTTTATGTCAAATCTTACTGTGTGGGGGCTGGGGTTGTGGCTCAGTGGTAGAGTGCGGCGCTCTCTATGCATGTATGAAGCACCGGGTTCGATCCTCAGCACCACATAAAAATAAAGGTATTGTGTCCATCTACAACTAAAAAAATATTTTAAAAAAAGAAAAAAAAAGATCTTACTGTGTGGCCTCAGGCAAAGAGCTGCCCCTCTCTGAGCCTTGGTTTCCTCATGGGTAAAAGGTAGTTTTAACTACAAATGCCCACTTTAGGACCACGCACTGCCCTTTACCAACACTAACTCATCAGAATCCTCACACAACCCTGTGAGAGGGGCCACTTGAAGGATGGAGAAACTGAGGCCCAGAGAGGTTAAGAAGCGTGTCCAAAGTCACAAGACTAGAAAGTGTCGGCGCTCTTAACCGCGGGGCAGAGCCTAGGGACGGTCTACTCACCACCCGCTCCGCTCGCGAGGCTCGGGCCGGCCTCCCGCCCCTCCCACCGGTGCCTATGAGCCCCGCCCCGGGGCGGCCCTGCCCACCCCGCCGCCTGGGCGGAGTCCGCGCGGGATCCTGGTGGCTGCGGGCGGCGGCGGCGGCGGCGGCGGCGGCGGCGACTGCGGGGGCCCGGGTCGCGGCCGAGGCCCGGCCGCAGCGAGTTTGGAGAGTTCGGAGGCGGAACCCCGCGGGCAGCGCCCCTGGCGCGAGGTGATCCCTTCCCAGGGCGCGCACCCCGCTCCTCCCCTGCGCGTCCGGCAGGTCCGGGAGCCGGGCTGGGAGGAGGGCCGGGGGCTGGGGAACAAAGGCGGGGCTGCAGGGGACGCCTCGTCTTCCCCCGCGCTCCGCAGGGCTCCTCCGGCAGCCGTAACGGGGCGCGGGCGGGGCCCAGAGCCCAGCTGGGGACTTGCGATGGGACCATATGGTGATGGGGGGAAGCAACTGCGCTCCTCTGCACCGGCTGGGGTGCCTGAAATACAGTGTAAGGGACAGATCCAGGCCCTCCGCTAGTGTCAGGCGTGAGGGAGGGTCGGCAGATGGTCAGGCAGAGGTGGGACCGGTGACCGACAGAGGCGGAGTGGGGCGGGGGCCCTAGGCTGGCAGCCCTGCCCAGCGTGCTTCTCTGCCCCTCCTCAAACTCGTTCTCCCGGAACACGGGGTGGGGCCCGGCTTGGTCCGCATTGAAAATGAACCGAAGCCTCAAAGGTGGTTGAGAAATAGCTTAACCCAGGCTCCCCGCGCCTGCGTGCCTCCCATTCATGCAGGCCTTCTTGTGCTGGGGAAACTGAGGCGTGGGGAGGGAAGGAGGGTTGCAGGTGCATCCAGGACCTGGAGGACCCGTGGCAGACTGTGGGCCCATCAGGCTCCTGGGGTCCAGTGCCTGGAGAGGAAGGAGCAAGGGAGCAGGTGGTGGTCCTGGAGGTAGGGTTTGTTATAATTATGTGGCTGGGATAATTTGGATTTGCGGACTCTCACACCTGCCTGGGTGGATTGGGGCTGAGGCTGGGGTGAGTCAGCCTTGGCCAGAGGCAGACAGGCTCAGCCCCTTTGACAAATAGAAAATGGCAGGTCCCCACTTGGGAGTAGAGCTGGGGCTTTAAATTCCTGATGTGTCCACAGAAACCCCCCTCACCCCGGGAGTCAGGGAGACAGTTGAATTGGGTTTGGGTGGTGAGTAGAACATGCACCCTAGTGGTGGACACCTGCCAAAGTCAACACCCAGGCCCTGCAGTGGGGGGTTGTCTGTCTTGCTGGCAGGCTCCCCCCTCCCAGCTAACACCTGGGCCTCCCAGCTGCTCACTCTGGGGCAAAGTCCACACCTGCAGCTTCTGCAGACGTCCTCAGGGGCCAGAGGAGGCACCCCCCCATGCAGTGCGGGGTGTCTGAACCCTTAGCCAGGCCTAGGGGCCTCAAGACAGGAACCCCCAAACCCACTGTAACAAAGGCTCAATTTTTTCCTTTGTGTGAAGATTAAACAGCAATGGCATTTATTGAGCACCAACTGTATGCCGGGCACTGTTTTATAACCATTGGGTGTATTAAGAGCCTCCCTCTTTGTCACAGCTGTGCCCTGGATAACAGGCCTAGTTCTACTCCCAGGCAGGGC